TATGCTAAGATAATCACTAGACACAGCAGCAACCTATAGCAACGATGATAAGCTAATCACTAGACACAGCAGCAACCTGCAGCAACGATGCTAAGTTAATCACTGGACTAGCCATTTAACATTTCACTTATTACTACATTTTTAATATATTTCTGTTTTCGTCTGTAGAACTGTTTGTTAGTAGAAATATTATATAGGCCTATAAATGTGTATATATATATATATATATATGAATTCTAAGAGAAGATCAAATAAGCAATTATAAATGCTGAGCAAATTATAAAGTAAATTTACAATAATGATAGACTAGTTTTTAATATTACTATTAAATAGGGGTTCAAACTTCGTTACTGTTTCTATACAGCCAGTGTCCGTGAATTGTCTAAATGGTTAGCCAGTGATCTGTTCATGCTATGTTGCATTATGATATATATAATTGTTGTGCCAAAGGTGGGTTTTATATCTCAGAGGTGGGGGTGTTTAAATTTAACGTTTTGCCGTGTGACGTTATAGGCTATACGTCTGCTCGCTTCCCTCCAGTTGATACGCCGTGCGCGTTGTGCTGAGCACGTGAGCGGGATTCTGTAAATCTCTCCTGTCACCGGGCAACAGCAGCAGAATGGCAGTAGCAGCGACAGGATGTGTAGTCAGGCTATACTGAAGTATTAGTTAGTTGAAGAGATAATATGCTGACGCCAGGAAAACCCGTTATAGGCTACGTGTAACACGACGACACAGTTACGCAATTCATGAAAGCTGCAATCGGGTGGAATTGAAACCAGTGTTTGTCCAGACGAGACTCGGCGGGCGTTTCATCGTGCAGGGTGATTTCCATATTCAGATTGAATCTCTTTAGTTGTGACGCTTTAGAAAATATTAAATGGAAAATACTATTAATACTCTGAACTATCCTGAGGTTAGAAAAATGGAATTAACTTTATCTTTAGTTTAAAAAACACAAGACGTATTATATATGTAACTTAATAACATAATGTTTAATAATATACTTAATTATATATATGTGTAACTAATATTTAGGTCATTTAGGACATTTGGATTATGTGTGAAAGTTGCCATTATTGTTCATATTATTTATTAAGATATGCAGAAACGGGCTTAATTCTCACTCTCATCAAAAAGTAACTGCGAATTATCTCCGACATCCATTAATTAACTAGTGAAGTTGCTCTGGACCTGTATATGTGACACCTGCTGGATAGAAATGTCATTCCTTTGGATGAAAAATAGGCCTATGTCGGTTGGCTCGAGTTTAAGGTTACTCAAATCAAATTAGTAAAAACTACAGTGAAAATAGAATAAGTGTATAATTTTACACCTTTAGCTATGCCTTATATATATATATATATATATATATATATATAGATTAATAATAATATCTGAATATATCGGCCTGGTACGCTGCTGTCATTACTCCGCGCAACGGAGTTGAAGGAGGTAATGTAATCGCTCTCTGTGTGTGTTCTGTGTGTGTAGTTCGTGTGTGTGTGTGTAAGCCAGCAGCGAGCCAGCTGTTATACCCGGGCTACGCGCGGGCGTTTGTATACATGCTTACCCACCGCGTTGCGCGATCGATTCAGCACCAGCTGCGCCTTAGGCCGTCCAGTCAGAGCAGGCTCGCCTAGAACGTTCAGTCAGCAGCAGCCAGCAGCGAGCCAGCTGTTATACACATGTATACATGTTACACGCTCGCGGAGGTATGCACTCTCTTTGAGTGCCTTCTGTCTAGTTTCTTATGTGTCAGCTCTTCTCATACTTACGCTGAGCATGGCGCATTAGCTCCCTAAACGAATCTATCAGTTTCACTTTTTACGAGAGAATATAGTTGACACGCATGCCCACAGAATGTGCAGTCCTCCGATGAATTCGGATTAACCGAATTCAAACCAGTATATAAGAAATTAACTGCTAAATTTTCCTTTTAGTCGCCCTCGATAATATACCAGTATACCGGTTCACAGTATCCAGTATTTTATTGACTTTCAAAGACTTTCTTTAATGATGTTATCCAACCGAATCATTCAAACCGAACGCCAATTTAATTTTGAAGACATTTTACAATTTTCCGAGCGAAAAGTTAACTAGAGATTTATAATAATGTCGAGAAGAAAAGGCGAATGGTAATCACAGATTGTGAAATCTAGAGGGTTTGTCTAAAGAACAGGCAGATTAGGTAAACTTGTCAATTAACAATTCAGATTTTTTGAAACATGCATGGCTTGAAATAGCTGACATTTGCATATAGATGGCCGTGAAAATGGCATAAATGGCTGTCATATTCGCTTATTACAACCTATTATATGATATTTCTCTTACTAAAATGACAAATAAATGGAAATTAATTCCGTCTTAATGAAATTTAGATGATTTTGACTTGCCGCATACATGAAATTTGTTTAAAGATGTAATTCTATTTAGATATTGGGCTGAAACTTTCTATACTATTGTTATATCCACGTTTTTTAAATGTGTGAAGATGTAAAGGCTCATAAGAAAAATCTCTATGTTCGTCTTAATTTTCAAAATAATATTTATGGAGACCTCAGTTTGATATAGTAGATATATTATATATATTAGTTTGATATACACCTTAGTTTAGTTATGATAACTGAATTCTGAGAGCCTCCGAGCACGCATATTCCAATTCCGCAAGTAATGGTTTGTATACATTTCCTGCAGAGAGTTCCGAATGAGTTTACTCCACTTGTAACAGCGAGCGATACTAATGAGATCATAATTTGCAGGACATGGCGGACAGGTTCACGGCCGAGATGCAGAAGCGGAGAAAGGCGTCAATAATGAGTACATCCAGCAACAGCAGCAGCTGCAGCGGTCCCACCCCTGACACAGATGGCGCTGCCAACACAAGCTCAAACACAGATATCAGCCACCAGGAGGCGCTCGTAGACACCGCTGACAACCAGGTGGCGTCGACGTCCTTGTCGCCGGACTTACAACACCCTCGGAGAAATATCGCCATGACAACTGTCCTTTCTCTGTGGCGCGACGCAGACTTGCAGCGGTGTTTCAGCAGACGCGCTGAATATGGACTCTCGCGGTCGGATACCCTGTGAGTATGACATTCGTCAAAGAAACGCACCATGAGAGTTTAAAAAATCGTAATCCTAACGAGGATTAGCTTCGATCTGCTGAGATCACTGAGATAATGACTTTAATTATCTTTTCTCAGAGAGATGCATGCGATTTAGCAGACGGCAAATCTATATATAGTTCTCTATATCTATATATAGTTATATATATATATATATATATATATAAAGCGACTCCTTGGAAATGTACTTCATCAAATTGACTTCTTAACACGAATGTCTGAATTGGTAAGTAATGAGTTACTTGCAGAGCTGCGTGTACCTATATGGTGACTGTAACTGCACCGTAACAATCTCCGGCGATGACTACAGGCGCGTATAACGACATGACTGTATGTAACGTCGTGTTACAGGCGCGGCAGGATCAGGTAAGAGTACGTTCACCAAACAGCTTAGGATCCACTATGGCGACGGATACCCGACAGACGAGAGGGCCAAGTACACGCCCTACGTGTTTGACAACATGTGTGAAGCTCTCCTCACCATCCTCCGCAACATGAAGACTTGTAACATCAGCTTCCAGTCGGATGAGATGCAGGTAATATGTGTGTGTGGTAGAAGGTGTTCATGGAGGACTTCACTGCTTATTCGCTCGCGCGTGTGACATAACTAACTAATATGGGGTAGCTAGCTTTGTCATTTTTCGCATGCGTATTTTTTTTACAGCCATCAGAATTTCGACTCCGCTAATTTAATGTCGTCAATCCGGGCGATTGTATTTATACCTAATTATTTTATAGTATATAAGATAAATGAAAGTTTGGCGGAGTCTCTTCAATCCGATTTGCCAAGTTACGAAGTCTTAGTCATCGAGGCACGCGTGTGTAGGTGTTCACTAGAGATTCTTTGAGAGAATCGAGGTCGACATTGCACTAGCATGACGCAATGCGGTACAGTGCTTCCACCGCTTTATCGGGCCTCCGCTGAAGAAGCGCATCGCTTAAATGACACGTGTCTCTGGAAAACAATCCTTACGCACGTTGTGATGTTTTATATTTCCATGGTTCACAACTCGTCCGGATAAAGCTGTGAGCACTGTATCAGCATTCATGATCACCCGAGCTCACAAAACTGTGCTGCACGGTAGTATAGTTTGTTTATAAGCTATCCGCCATTCCGTCATTCACTGATCGTATGCTATTATAGTCGATGATACGATGACATCACACAGCAGCAACCTGCAGCAACGATGCTAAGTTAATCACTAGACACAGCAGCAACCTGCAGCAACGATGCTAAGTTAATCACTAGACACAGCAGCAACCTGCAGCAACGATGCTAAGCTAATCACTAGACACAGCAGCAACCTGCAGCAACGATGCTAAGTTAATCACTAGACACAGCAGCAACCTGCAGCAACGATCCTAAGTTAATCATTAGACACAGCAGCAACCTGCAGCAACGATGCTAAGTTAATCACTAGACTAGCCATTTAACATTTCACTCATTACTAAATTTTTAATATATTTC